TTCGAAAGTAGTCAATTACGAGAACGGATATCACTGAAACTATTGTATATAGCGAAAAAACTAATATATATATATATATATATATATATATATATATATATATAATATATATATATATTAGTAGTAGACAATATTTCTATTCAAAATTTTGTCAGCTTTAATTTCACATTTGACATTATTATAGACAGAACACATAGTTTCACTGATATAAGTTAAAAACCGAAAAAAATAAACATTTTGAATCGTGAATTAAATTTTTCGACTTGAAATCCATGGTAACGGGGTAACTGACTATTATTTGATGTCTTAAGACTGTAAATAATATAAATTGAAAGGGTTGGTAGCTTTTTATATCTATAAACGTTATCTATATATTGACTTACAACCTATGTAGGATCTCTATATATCTTTAGATGACCGCCATTTTGTATTCCAGCGGCTATATTCTGGCAGACGTGCATTTTTCTCATCATACCTGTGCACATGATCAATTTATAAGAATAAAGCTTAGTATAAAATATGACATATTTTTTTACCACGGATTCCAGGACTATTATCCTTTCCCGTACTTGACATATCACTATTTCTGTCAGACCATCTGCTTATTTTTAATAGTTCGTAGAAAGGCATCGATCGATATTTTAAATTATATTAAAATAATAAACTTCAAATATGAATAAGAGAAATGGCTAAAGCGAGAGAGCATAATTATTGTAGTGATTTGCAAGTTTAAACGAGCGAAATTGGAGACTAACTCAAGCAGCCTTCAATAAATAATATGGAGCCCGGTTTAACGAGCACCATTCTCACTCCATTATTGAATATAATCCTTAATATATAATGAGGAGTCAAATGAACCGTATTATGGCTCCTCAAATGATCCTGATGTTATAAGAAAACAAAAGCAGGGCTCTCTTGTTAACAAATATTTAGTTGGTAAATAAATTTGGTTTGATTTTTTAGAGTGAAATAAAATCGGTTTACAACTAATTTTAATCTTCAATGTATTTTCCATTATTTAGCATGGCCTATTTTGATTTTTTCACTAACTGTCTTATGTCATTCTATGAACATAGAGATGTATACGTATGGGAGGTTTATTGAAGAAAAAAAAATGATCTAAGTGGTTTTCAGTTTAGAATCGTTTTAATTCATTGAACTATACAAAGACTGGTATAATTAGTAATCGCTTCTAGGTCTGATGAATAAGCATGGATTCCAAGTTGAATTTTTGAAAATAATAAAATAAAATATCTTGATAGTGAATTTTTTTTCTTTCATATTTACAGTGCAATGGCTAACACATTGTTATTGTAATTTTAATAAATGTTTACAGAAATGGTTTTGTTGAAATTTTACAAATAGTATTAACAATCCATCATAGACTTTTATTCATTCGATAAGAAGTGTAAATAAAAGGATTTATTTTCCTACTTAATATAATCAACTCTCCTACGTTTAACCATGTGTTGCTTTATAATTGATTTTCTTAAACAACAGATAAACATGAATAAACAATATGTAAATTAAATATAATTGGATCATTTTAAAAATAAATGTAACAACTGGGTATTTAAAATTAGCTTCTTGCGCTAAAATATAATAAAAACAAAAATTAAAATTTTGAATACTGATGTATTTATTAGCAAAAATGATTTAAGTGGTTTTTCGTTTAGAATCGTTTTCATTCATTGAACTCTACAAAGACCGGTATAATTAGAAATCGCTTCTAGGACTGATGAATAAGGATGGATTCCAAGTTGAATTTTTGAAAATAATACAATAAAATATCTTGATAGTGAATATTTTCATATTTACAGTGCAATAGCTAACACATTATTAATGTAATTTTAATAAATGTTTACAGAAATAGTTTTGTTGACATTTTACAAATAGTATTAACAATTCATCATAGACTTTTATTCGTCAGATAAGAAGTGTGTAGTAGTGATAAAAAAATAAATAGAAAAAAAAGGATTTATTTTTCTAGCCAATATAATCAACTCTTCTACGTTTAACTATGAGTTGCTTAGTAATTGATTTTCTTAAGCAATAGATAAATATGTACAATAAATATGTAAATTAAATATAATTGAAAATGTAATTTTAAGTATTTCTATCATTTTAAAATAAATGTAACAGCTGGGTATTTAAAATTAGCTTTTTGCGCTAAAATATATTAAAAACAATAATTACAATTCTGGGTACTTATGTATGTATTAACATCAACTTAGATATCGATTAAAAGCAATATTAATCAGTTTGCACATGTATTTACATACGTCATGAAGAAGCCAGTTGCTAATGTGGTTGTGGTATCGGATTTCCTAAGTACTCTGAAAGTCATGAATAACATGTATTCAGACCATCCAGAGATATTCTAAATCTATCAAAATGCTTCATAAAGTTGGAACAAGGGCACATTTCATCTGATCTCCTGGCTATATAGGCATTAAAGGAAACGAAATGGCTGATAGAGCAGCAAAAGAAGCTCTTACCATTCCAGGCCGCTGTAAAGGATTTTTGACACCATCTGAACTTGCACGACCTCTAAGAGGAACCATATCCCAAGAATGGCAAAGACGGTGGGACAACAGCGCACCTAGCAAATTGAAGACAATAAAGAAGGAGGTGCAACCGTGGACCAGCTCCAGACTCAGCGGTCGTAGAGAAGAGGTCGTCCTCACGCGGCTGAGGATCGGACATACTAGACTGACTCACCTCCACCTCATAACAAAAAATCTTATCCCCAGATGTCAAAAGTGTAACAAGTCATTAACCATAAAACATGTTTTGGAAGAGTGCCTTTTTACACAGCAAGGTTAAAAGATCTTAGAATACCTCAGAATATATCAGCATCCCTGGGACAAACCATGAAAAAATCATTACCAAAGTTATAAAGTTCCTAAACAATGAAAGTTTTATAAAACATATATGACGAGTTTATAACTAATGACCCTTAGCATTTTTTATTTTATTTTCAAAGTTCATCTATCTATTAATTTCAATTAATTTATTGATTTTATTGTGTTTTTTAAAGTTTATTGATTTATGTATTCTATCTTATCATCTATAAGTGTTTATTATTATCGTCATTTATTTATTTTATTCTATTAATTTTTTTATAAAAGTAGTGTTATTTAGTTGAATTGAGCGCTGATGTTCTGAATGTTTTGTGCCTAGACATCGAAACAAACAAAAAACCATTCATTTTTTAATTTTTTACGTGACGTGACATTCATGAGTTGCAGAAGTAATATTTTTTTTCAATTAATATTACATAGCTCTTTTATAGATCTATATTAACGAAAAAAAAAGTAGAAGAAACAACTGTAACTAATTTTGAAAACATAACTATGAAAGATGGAGCAAATTTAATTTGAAATTTGAATCGTGACACTCTTGAGAGATAAATAAAACATTTAAGATGTAATGGATAATTAAAAAATACTTCATTCAACTATTTATTTAGTCTAGCATCAATTGGAAATTAGTAAATACACTGTGACACTCGTGAGAGATAAGTAAAATATTTAAGATGTTTTGGATATTTAATTTTAATTACCTCATTCAACCGTGAAGTTCACGAGGTTTACAATTACACGTGGACCACAAAAATGATTATTTTGAATGATTTTATATTGGCAGAAAGTATGAAAAGAAGAAATTTATCTGATCATATTTTTTATTCTGTTTAGAGCTTTGCATTTTTGAAACAGTAGGGCATAGCATGTAAGCTTCCCCTCTACTGAAAATGAACTATTTACAAAAAAAAAAAAAAAAAAAAAAAAAAATCAATTAGGTGTGAAACAACCATTTTTTTTTTTACATTATCAGATATAGAAAAAAAAAATGTGTTTCACCTCCCTCAAGAATACAAAGCTTTCCTATCTTAGATAGTGATGAAGCAAAAGCTAATATAAATATTGAAACAAACAATTATTTAATAAATATGAATGGTCATTTGAATAAACAATTTCTTAAAGATCATAAAAGTAACTGAAACAGAGATGTTTTTTTTTTTTTTTTTAACCAAAACCATATTTTCTTTTAGAAAAGAAAATGTTCTCCTCAAAGGAATCAGAGGCCTTAGATTGTGCCCGGGAATACAATAGGGCTTGAGCTGGTGGGGATAAATTCGTGAGAGAAATTTGTGTTGTCGTGGTGATACCTTGGTACCTTTCTCACAGCAAAGGGCTCGCTCGTAACCAAGTTTCAAGCTTATATAAGATTTCTTTAGGCTCAGGTTATGAAGTGGTCCTACGTCTAAGGAATTATTTCTTCTCATATCTTCATGGTATTAATAACAGCAGAGGCACGATAAATACGATTTTACACTAGTGATATGTATATATATATATATACACACACAAAGAGACGAACTATCACCGATGTTGTACAACTTAGAGCTGAAGAACGTGATAAGAACAACATCATACGAAAATGAAGGGGTCCTCTTCGGAATTAATAATAAAATCCTTAGATATACAGAGCTGTAGTTGGAAGTAATCAAGAGGACATAGAAAAACTAGTAAATAAATACCAAACCAAATATAGAAAAACTTTATTCTGGGATGATGATCCCTTAGAATAACAATAATGAACAGCTACAAAAGAATAAAATACATATCTGACCAAAAATCAACATAATAAAGATTCAAACAATATATACAACAACTTAAATAATATTATGTAAACAATTAAAAATAAAATAAAATCTTCTCAACTATACTTATAATTTTACTGGAAACAAGAACAAAAAGAAATGTAAAAAAAGAAAGAATTACATATATAGAACCTCACTAAAGATTGTCCAAGAGAGAAAATGTAATATTATCCAATAAATAAATAATAATGAAAAAAATAAATTTTATTAAATTTTAACCTAAATAAAAATGAATTGTGGCATCTTAGAGGAAAAAAAAAATGATTGAAGGGAACTAATGTTTTACAAATTTAAAAAAAAAATATATTAATTTTTATATGTATCATAAAATTACCTTTTTTTGATGCATGGAAGCTGTCGTCTTTGGAAACATACTGTATGTCGTAAACCAAGGTGGATTTGGGCAAGAGGTTTTTATCCTTATTGATTCTGTGCACAGCATATTTGAAGGCGAGTTCGGTTCCGCTGTCCTTTTGATCATGTGTGAAAATTGCGCCTGTAAAAAAAAAAAAAAAGAAAAACTGAATAAGTAAAAATCAATTTGTTTTTGAAGTCAACTAATAAACAAAAAATATACGTATAAATTCAGTCACCAAGTCATCATAAATTTTGAATTAATTAATTTTATATTTGGAGTGCTATTATATATTTATATATTTTTCTTTTATCTTATTATTATCTAGTAATCATTATGAATATTATTAATCAATACATTTTATCTTTATCTCTTTTATAAGTATAAATTGAATTCGTGAACACTTGTAGCCCAAATACTTGTCGCTCTTCAATGTGGAAGATTGTATTATTATTTCATAAACTCAACAAAATCGGGACTCATAAATCGAGATAGAGGTCAAGAATGAGTAAGTGCAATGAGTTGAGATTTAGAGAAAAGGTTTTTGAGAATTTCCACTTTCTTTTCTCACTACACCTGTGGTGCTCTCACATGGTGATTAAAACCTACTTAACTACTTAATTTCTAGGACACTCTAACACTATCATCACCTATACCGATAACACATGCGTACTATCAACCGAACCATCAATTGCATCTCATACTCTTCAATCAAACGTCACAAATCTAGAAGAATGATGTAAAAACTAGAGGATCAAATAAATTACAATAAATTACATCAAATCACCTTGACAACACCTCACTTATTCCTGCTGACCAAAGCCGATACCTTGGACTCCACCAAGGCTTACTTGGAATCCTTATATAAGACTGAACCGACAAGAAACCGCTCGACTTTTCCGATTAGTATAGCACAAGCTAGACAAACGCTCTAAACTTCCAATTAATGACAAAATACTCATATGCATGACTACAATAAGGCATATTTGGACTTGTGGAATTGAGCTTTGGGGCTAAAATAAGTCATCGAATTCCTCTCGTATCCAATCATTACAATCTAAAATTCTTCGCTTGTATGTGCCTGACTTTGTCACTAATAAAATCATCCACAACGACCTTAATCTTCCTCATTTTTTAGATTTCCCCCAATCTAGGAACCTATCCTTCCAATATAAACTTCAGAACCATCCCAAACCTCTCCTTTTTAATCTTGCTTTCTCTTTGATTCCTGATAATCCTCCAACGCATTTGGAGAAAACGGTCCCATGATCTCCTAATGTAAATATATTATTAGAGTGAGTAGTTATTCAACGGGTCTTTTCATGTCATCATATTCATTTGTTCATATTTATTAAATGTCTTTTTATATAATTACAGTTGTAAATATACTGAACACAAAATAAAAATAATTCTAGGAAAATTCAAGCCTTGAAGCGAGAAACAACTATGTAAAAGAGTTAAGAATAATTGTTGGAATTCTGAGATGGTTTTGGTTCAGAGATCATTTGCTGTAAGTATATTGTTTTACATATTAAATTTTTGATAAAAAATTGAAGTATAAAAATATCTTTGTGAGAAAGCAGAGATATGGGATGAGAATACATATACATATAAGATGGAACAAGGTCGGTAAAGCGCGAGATTAGAAATTTGGTAATATCGATCGCTGTCGGTGTTTAATCTATTCCTGATTGGCTTAGCTAACCTTATTGCCTCACGACTACGTGTCTCGTGTAGCAGCAGCTTTTAATGTGTAGGCGGTTCGGGTACAGGTACAAGTATCTTAACTGTTCAGTACCCAGTTAAAAGTTAATGCTCAAATATCTCTACATATACATAGAGAGAAAAAAAAAATATGTTATAAAAGATGGTATTAGTCGACTGATCAATTATTAGGAAGAAACAAAATGGTAAGAATTTACAGTCAAAAATTCTTATTAAGTTAGTCGATGTTTCGAACCAAACATGAACGGACCAAATTTAATGAATGAAGATAATAGAAAGAGAAAGATATTAAGGTGTATCCATGAGCGAAAAAAATGGTGCACGAGTGAAGGCAAAAAGAGGACAAGAAGACATTGAAGACCTAGGAGACATCAATGGTGAAAAGAAGGTTTTAGGGTCACATGAGGAGAATGGAAAAGATATATATATATATAAAACAGAGGACCTTGGCACTTGATCTGATGAAACGCTAATTTATACCGTATAGTAGTAGATAAAGGCTATAAAATATAAAAAGTATATTTTAGTATAAAAAGGCTAATATTCGAGCCAATTACGAGATATACCTCGGAGACTTGGGTCATCAATGCAATACATTGAAAAACAGACTGTTAGCGGTAGAGATGGACTTTTGGAGAAGAGCAGCAAGATAATTCAAAAGGGAAAGGATCAACAAGGATAGAATTCTGGAAATGATGGAGGTAGGAAAAAATGTTTAGTAAATATTGAAAAGAAAAGTTATGCTGGTTGGACATGTGAAAAGAATGATGCCTGTAATATTGCCAAAGATGTATATGGAGCTGGAAGTAGAAGGGAGAAGGAAAAAGGGAAGACCAAAGGTAGAATGGAAAGAAGCGGTAGAAGAAACCCTGGGCATCATAGAAGAACATGCCTTGAATAGAGAAGGATGGAAAAATATCTTAGAATATTTAGGTCAAGGACAACCACAGTAATGGAAAGGTCCTAATATATATATATATATATATATATATATATATATAATATATATATATATATATATTGTTTTTGTTTTTTACTAGCGTGTTCTTACAAGTATGTCACAACTTGCAGGCATCCCCTAATTAAGAGGGTATGGTCTAACTTCCCGCGGGGACCAGCTGTAGTTAGAAGTAGGACCGGGATTCGATCCTATCATCTTATATAACAAAATAATCTTCGACTAAGTGATAAAACTTAAGAATATCAAAATGTGAGCAGATTATAGGTGATACGAAGAGACTAAGGGTCGGAGAAGAAGACTACTAAGAAAGAGGGAAGTTCATAAAGTTAGTTGAAGAAAGGAAGGTTCTTGTGGTGGAGAATAAAAGAAAGGAGGTGGTGGTTAGAGAAGCGAAGAGAGGGGATGATGAAGAAGATGAAGACGATTCTGAGAAAAAAAAAAGGCGAGAAATGACAAAAGTTGTTTACCTTAGCTGGCCTGTATTGCGATAAATGAATAAATAACTAAACTAAGTAAATTTAGAAAAAAATATATATGTAGGACATATAACTATTTTATGTATTTATATTTCCTTAAAATTAGACCTTTCCATTATATTAGCACCAAATAGTGCATGTAATCTCCTACCTTTTTCATTTATGTTTTTTCTTATATTCTCCTGGCTTTTATTTACAACTAGTGTTCGAAATTTGATAATGATTATCATTGAAAACATATAAGAGTTTACATGTTTACGAAATTGTTTCTACTTTTATACATATGGTTCATTGTATATCTGAGAACATATACTTTTATACTTTTTTTAGCCTCTTTTTTTCGGAAATATGTTTTATAAATATATTAAAAAAGGGATCGAGGAGAAGAGACGCAATGTTATATTCAAGTCGTTACAGCCATTTTGACGCTACAGTCTATAGCGATACTTTTTTTTCGGCTGATATTTCTAAATGGAAAGACGGATAGTAACGAAATTTAATCTTTGTATCAACATTTCAAAGCAATCGGTAAATATCTTTAAGAAATCAGGGCTTTTGAAAAAACGATATTTTACATTTCATTTACATACACCTTTTATTTATTTTTTTAATAATAACAGTTATAGAAACATGTGCGTATGTGGGTAGCTATTTTTATTAGTTTAGTTTCTTTTGTTTTAGTTTACATACATTTACTTTTAGTATTATTGTTTTTCTGTATTATTTATTTTTATTTATTGTATATAGATTATGAATGTGCTCTCAGAACACTAGTATAAATGTCCTTAATTATGACAGATATCTCTCAATAAACGTGACAAAAAAAAATTATAACAGTAAAGCTTTCCAATCGCTACTAAAAAAACAGGTGAAAAAAAGGACTAAATGATTAGTCCAGTTGATGTTTTGTTCATCACCCAGTCCATTATTTTTTTATATAATTATTTTTTATTTTCATATTTGTTGATTAAATTTGATTCTCCCTTTTCTTCTGAAACCGCTTAAGCGAACTTAACAATAATATTTGTTCAAGTATTATTCTATTTAGAGGAAGGAGATGGTTGGGGGTGGCGGTCATAAATAGACTAAAATAATGGCACAACTATTTTATTAAAGGCCAACGTTTCGACCCGACTTTGCAATGTCCTCTTCAGGGAGGTGTGTTCAGCAATGAGTTTTACATAAAAAGTTAAAAAGTTTTTTTAGGTGAAACTGCTAGCACACCTCCCTGAAGAACACCTGCAAAATCAGGTCGAAACGTTGGCCTTTAATAAAATACTTTTGCCACTATTTTAGTCTATTTATGACCGCCGCCCTGGACCATGTTTTTCGTTTATAATACAACGGTCAACTATTAAGTATTCAATATTATTCTATTTAGCATATCCACCACTTAAACAAACTATATTTCGATACCTAAGGTGGTTGGTCTTTAAATCAACTAACTCAAACATAAGCATAGTTTATAAAGGCATCCCTTGGACAATCTCACTGTCAGTCCAACAATAGCGATTTTTTTTTCAATATGCTCTGTCACTAAAATATCCATATTACTCATTTCTCTAAAATAATAATATTAATATTGAGAGAGCTCTTTTCAGTTCTCACTATTGAATAGCCTCCTAAGTTGTACGCAGGCGATTCTTCTCGGCCTATTATTAAGCTCAGGGCAATAAATCTGCTTAGCTACGAAGGAGGCAGCGCTGAAATAGAAGCAGCGGGGAATAAGAGAAAGAATAATTAGCTGGTGGTAATTGGAGAAGGATCGAGTTCCACCAACCTCAACCTAGCTCCACAGCGAGGTGACGCTTATAGCTAATGATTGTCCCGCTCATTTATTACCCACTAATGTACGCTAGCCTTTCTTAACCCAACATTACCCAACTACTCACTTTTTAGAAAAACCTTGAGGAAATAGTGACTTTATTAATGGGTTTGACCTATTGAACAATCTCGATGTCCTTTGTCCTTTGACCTTATGAC